ATTTCCACAATGACTAAGGCAGGAAAGACATTATTTTTCCAAGCTAGGGAGCAAGCACTATGTCCTCTTAACTCATCATCCTATTACTAGACCTTGGGAATAGGTACTCTTAAGATTAGTGCCCATTGTTTAATTGAAGATCAGTTATCAATAGAAAACGGTGTAACAAAGATCTTTGTCTCAGGAGAAATGCCTCATCTAGGTGCATCATGGAGAAATTACAAGTTGGCACAACTCTGTCCCAGTCGGTTGCCATCATAGGGAATGCTGGGGAGGAGAGCTGGGAATGTATGCTTACAAATAAAGACTCTTTGTCAAGCCTAGACATGTCTGCACAAAATCAGGATAAATATCCTACCAGTAGATATAAATATTTCCCATTTTCATTTAGCATTTACTCAGGCACACGCTTTGCTTCAGCAGAGCACATTAAGGACTGCAAGGGTCTCACATTCTCTGCCAGTAGGAGACAGAGAAGTCATCAGGAAACGCAAGAGTCCACCTCAATTGTATTGCCAGTGTGCTCATTCAGGATTATGACAAATGATCTTTTTCCCAGGAGTTTCCAGAAAATCTTGAGTCTATGACCAGTTCCTGTGGAAAGAGAAGCCAAGCCCAAAGGACAAACCTGAGAGTTTTTCCAGATGCAGGCTAGGAACAAACAGCTTTCTCAGTTTCTGTCTCACTTTTAAGCAGTGCTATGGGATAAGGGTACTGTGAAGGTGGTAGCTACACAAATCAATCATAACCTCAGTCCTTATTGAGGAACATCATTGAGTCTTTTTGTGTGATTTTATTTCATGTCCCCACTTCCACCATCTAAGTACTTCTTTCACCTCTTTCTCAAGTCATCTGCCAGACTACAGATTTCTTTTCATCCAAATACTACTTAAAAACCTGATTATTTTGTGAAGCTCACAAAAAGAGTTACCAATGAATTATTCCTTTTTAAATGCAGCTAGGCATGCACAGTCCTTTCCTTTCATGCTTTCAACTTTTCCTGAGTGGCCAAATCATCCTCTGTCTATCAAACTGTCTACCATCGTTCCATTACTGTCTGAAACTAGAGTTCATATAATTGTACACATATAATCGACCAGTACTTAGAGGAAACCAGTAAAATATTCAGGATTGTAAAATAACTATTTCAGTTAGCAAAATACATTTAAGTATGTTGTCAATACTGTTATTTATATTGACATACCTCTTAAGCATTTTGGATAAAGTTAAGGAATACATTTTAGTAACATAAATCTATTGAAAAACTTCAGTATTATTAATTGCAGGGTCATGTTGCTGATTTCTCACTACCCTAATCAAGAGACAGCAGCAAAATGTGAAGTGTCCAGTTACTCCTTCTATCAAGGGACATCCAGAGAGCTCTGCTCAATTTCTTTTCTCTCTGCTAAAAAATTCAAGATACTCATATCTCTACGCATGCACATTGAACAGTTCAACCTATGTGAATATCTAAAATGTCTCATAACATCTGGAATAAGAGTTACAGATAAAAATTAACTTTCCTTACTTTTGAAGAAATGACCCTTTTGAAGAAATGATGCAACACTAGAGAGAATAAGGGGAAGTGTAACTACTCCCACCAAAGAGCCGGACTGTTCATTACTTGAAACACCAGTGCTTTGTGGAGTCTCCATTAATGACTAGTGACAGAAGCCAGACAGACTTGGTTTCACCTGTATCTAACCCAGAAAAGGTACTCCTTCTATTCAGATATGGATTTAGCCAAACTGATACATGTTTTTCTAATCCCATACTTGGATCAATCCAATTTTACTCTTCCTTGGTTTGACCCAGATGCTGCTCCATAACCTACAGATGGTTCATCATACCGTATCCCATCTGTTAACTAGAATACCATAATGAGAATGCATCACACCAATATTCCTCACTTCCCTTTGGTTTTCATTCTAATCCTAGACACAGCTGAAAGTCTTGGTTCTTTCAGTGGTCCATGACTAAATCATCTAAGAGAAGACCTCTTCTTTGTGCTTCTTGCAGAAAATAGATACAACAGATATGTTATGCCCCAAAAGGGCCAGATTCAAATGTGAATGTATGATACAGAGACCTCCAGGCTTCAGCATTGACTTCTACCACATATAGTTTTCCTGTGTTTATGTTTTGATAAAAGATTCACTTTTTCCTGTGAATAGTTTAGCTGTCAGTGAAATCACCATAGCATACATTCCTAAATGAAAAATTAAACCATATTTTTTATAAGTAAATAATTAATTCTGGAAGGAAAGATTTCTGTTTTGAAAGACTTAGTAAGTTTAGCATACAATGCTTCAACACTACAGCATATAATGTCGATATAGGAAAAAATTCTTATAAATCTGAACTAATAGCACGGCAGTATTAATAATATTAATGCATAAATACATTTACATAATATTTAAATTTGGCATTCCTTAGGGCATATCATTACCTGAAATCAGTACAAGTTTGACACTTAAATGGGAGTTGTGTATAGGTGGTCAGTATCTGGAAGAAAAGTACTGTCCTCTGAAAACTCAAGTGGAGTGCAAAAGAATTTTTAGTCACTTCACTAAATAGAAAAAAATATTAAAACCCAATTTGGCCCTTAAGGTAATGTTTTTCCAAAAATATACTTTTTATTCAGAAACATGGTCCTATTTATCAGGAAAAGATGGATGATAGCAAAACCATTAGCTTGAAATCAATATATTTTTTGGAATTGAATTCCATTAAGCAAGAATGTAATTCCTGAAATTTAGAAGAGAAAAATTTTCATACATTATTGAATCTAATTGATGATACTCTTTGTTTTGTTTTTCATTTACTTCATTCTCTACTTTGTGAAACACAACTTGGAGAATAAGAAAAGGCTAACAAATGCTCTAGAACCAATCAATGTTACGAAACTAATAACAATACAATATGAGCATGTAAGCTTATGTAGTGCCTTTCATGTAGAAGTATCCCAAGGCACTTTGTAACAGAAACTCAATAAGGAGTGCAAAAGTGCTTTGTCAGATAGGATAAGCCAGGGGAAAAGGGGAAATTAATTAAGCATGGATTTAAATTTCTTAGCCAACACAGCATTTAGAACCCTGGTCAGAAAAGACAGTGGTTCCAATATCTGTATCCAGGGAACACAACAGACTCTTCTGGTCTTTAATTCTTGAAGAATGTTCAATAGTTTTTCTACAATAATATGGGTATGAGTAATAGGAATGCAGTTTGCGCGTTACATTTCCAAAAGCCTACCCCTACATCTTTTCCTCTAGTTTTTCATAAAAAAATAGATTCATAAAGGTTGATCACTTGTCTTGTATGTCAGTAAAGTCACTTGACTGCAGAGATACCCAATATGGAACTTGGTACTGTAGAAATTATAAATACTAAGTTAAGGATTGGGCAATGGATTTGTTGGCTGTTTAGCTCAGAGTTTTAAACCAAAGTGTGTTTCTTTGTGGAGGTAGTCTACACCTCTGACAGAGAGTAATCTGTTACACAGTAGTTCCTAAGATAGCAGGTTTTTCACAGGGAAAAATAAAATCGCTGGGAAAAAGCTATAGTAATAGATAATGCATAAATTACAGCTTCCCTGATGTTGCAGAAACTTGCACATCCTCTATTTTTCAAACATTTTTTTTCTTAGGAACACATGGACTATCCTCATTTTTGGATGACTGCCTCTTCGGATTAATGCATCCTTCTGGTGCATAAATTAGAGATGCACAGAGGAAAAAGGAGAATCACTAAATCTCAGGAAACTGAAACCATACAGAAAAATGAGGTTCACAGTAGATCTGAATGAGTGACTCACCATGAATAATTTATCCAAAAAGTTAGCCTCCACTTCTGTTCATGGAATATCTATAAGCAGCCTATAATTTCATCAGTTTTATTATAAAACAAAAACTTAAAATATTGTACGTCTTCACTGCAAATAACTTTCTGTAAATATTTCAAGTCCTATCTTGAGACAGTGGCATTTTGATTGATCAAATAAATCACATGATGATGTTTCTATTCTCTAGATGAATGAACTCACAAACACATACTTCAGATGTCTGCTGTGGTTAAAAAAGCAGCTCAGTTACATGTGATGAAAAGTGAGTATAGGCAAAATAAATTAATTTAAGAAAAACTCAGAAGAGTTTCAGCATTTATACTGCAACTGTAGTCCACTGTAATTTTCACTAATAACTCCAGGAATTTGCAGCTACCTGCAGATATTTTCCTTGGGGGCCATGAAGAGTGAACTTGTCCCAGGGAAAACTTGAATTTGCTGATAAGTGTTCTTTTTTTAAACATTTGGTACTGAATAATACACCAGTCTTTCCAGGGTTTGTTCTAAGTTCTTGGACCAGTTATTAGGAGTTGATGCACACATTAGTAAGATTAAAGTAGTAATGTTACAATTTTACTAGACTGAAATATCCTTGCAGTTTTTATCATTTTGAATGGACTGCCATGCTTTATGCAAATTTGAAAAGTACTGTCTGCTACTTCAATTAAATATGGAACCTCAGCAAGTACTTGAGGAATAATGAACCATTAGTGCGTTTCAAATTCACAGTAGTATACAGAGGCTATTAGTTTTTTAAAAGCCATCTAACAAAAACTTATAAAGGTTAATGTCTCTTAGAATGTTAAGATGTTAAAATACTATAATATTTACTACAGGAAAAAAAAGACTGAAGACTGATGAGAAATTATACTCTTTTGTTATGTGCCCTGACACAAGCTGAAGATAAAGACAGTATACTAAAATCCTGCCCATTTTGTATTACTTCAGATTTTGCTTGCATAATTAATGCTAACATTTTGTTTTTGGGTTTGGTCTATTTAAAAAGTTAATCTGCATCAAGTATCCTTTGTCAGATTATGTTAATTCTCTACATAATGCATAATTTGCTGGATTGTCTATTTTATAGCGGTAACATTGATATGAATTTATCAATATAATCAGAAAATAGAACTGAAAAAAATAAACAATGAGTTCTTACCTGAGCTCTTGAGCTATAGAGTCCACTTGAACTGTTAATAAAAGCAGGAAAGAATGAATTAGTTTACACTTCCAGACTGGTGCTTTCTGCAACCTTGCACCTGCCTATCTGTGATGACAGAGGAGCGGTTATCAAAACACAGGTGATTATTTCATGCTAACCACAGGACTGTAGCTACTAGTGGCAAACATTAAGTGAATATATACTACTCAAAGTTATTTTAGGATTCATAAAACCTGGAGTATGATATTTAAAGGAACAATAAGAAAAACAATAAGAAAAAACAAAATTAAAAGAGAAGGCGCTGGTTTTTATTGAAAATAGAATAACAAATCTCTGTTTTTTCTGAATTTTAATTTAATTTTGGAATAACAAAGGCTGGTGTTTACAAATACTTGGTCACATGAGGATATACAGCATATTGACAAAGCCAACAGGTGGTTCTAATGATTACTCATATTGCACAGGCAACTTTTGCTATTTTCACTTCTGGGAAAATGTTCCTGATCTATTAATTCCTATAGATGTGTGTACATGTGTATAAAAAATACAGAAAAAATAAATCCTTAAATTTTAAAAATGCATTATTAACTTTTTGAATGAAAAGTGTATGAATACCCTATTAAATACAATTAAAATTTGCTAAGTCAACCAGACTCTTTTAACTCACAGTTGTGACCAACAGAGATGGCATGCTTTAGTGCTGAGGTGTGAATAACTTTGTTCAAGTCCTCCCTTCTGGTATTTTTGAAGTATATACAAATTTTACATTAATTTTAGAGAACATTACTGAGGGATGACTCTAAGATTTGTTATGATAAGGCTTACGTTTTTTAGAAAGGCTCGTCTGTATTTAACCCCTTGTCTGCAGCCAGTTTGTGGCAATTCCACCCCCTTCCTCTCTTTACTTAAGTGAAGTCTAGCACTTTTCACCTCTTTTGCCATTTGAAACTATAGAACTAAACCAAACCACATTATAATTTTTCATTCTGAAAACAACTTGAAGCTGAAAGCATGATATTAGCAATCCAAAACTACTGAGTTATGACAATGAATCAAACTGGTCTGTTTTGTACAGTCCTGTGAGTGCACGTTTCACATTAAAATCAGCGTGAAGGATGGATGCTTTGCACCTTTGAAAATAGTCATAAAGAAAAAAACCTCACAGGGCAGGCAATACTTTGGCATTTATTTTTAAGTATGTCAATTTTTCAGTCATTATCAAGAGTCACAAAAGGTATTATGAATTAAAATAAAACGTTATTTTCCTGGTAGGGCTGTATTGCTAGTCAATCGTGTTTTCCAGATGTTGAGATCATTAAGGGCCTGTTTATCTCTCAGTACTGCATTTCCATCTGTTCCTTACAAAAAGAGAGGAATAGCTGGGAAATACAACTATGACATAACTTTGCAAAATGAAACACAAGCACCAGTACTTAAAAAAACCCACAGTGTTCTTCTCTGCTGCGTACACCTGCACATTTTGATTAAAGTAAATTTACTTCTGGACCAGTTACACAGCTGATTTACAGATAATTAATGGCAACAGACAGAAAAACATTCAGTTGGCTGAGGCAAAGTTTTGTACATTATTTTGAAAGCAACCATACAATATTGTCTAGCTCTACTCCCTGTGGACAATCTCTGTTTGCATAATAAAAAGCATAACCTTTATTTTCTTTGAGAACTAGCTCAAAGAAAATAGCATACAGTAGATTTTTTTTTCTGCTTTTCTTTGGTTAATAACATTGTGTCTCCTAATGCCAGCAGTCTGTGTCCTACCTTGATTAAAAAAGCAGCCCTAAGGAAGCTTCACACTCTCTTACTGCACATTAGGGACTGTGCACAGGAACTATCGTATTTCATGGTGTGCTGGGCACAGGGTCGTGGAACGTGCTTGCTAACTCACCCTTGGTTCCTTTTGAGCGTGTGCGCAGCTTTTTATTTTCCCCATCTGCATCCATCTGGAATATTAACACAAAGACTTTAATTCATTCCTTTTGCCATTGAGGAAAAAAAAAAATCTCCAATGTTTTTTGGGTTTTTTTTTTACATTTCCAGAGGCTAGACAGTAATAGAAAGAAGAATAATCATGTCTTATTAATCTTGTCAAAGAGATAAAAAGCCATCTGTGAATATCTAGTGAATACCTAGGAGATACCTTTAATGATACAGATTTGTTTAATAAAGTGATGGTTATGAGTGACTCTCTAAGGTTTAATGACAAAGTCTACAGGTGTTAGCTGAAGGCATGAGGTTAGTAACATAGCAATGTTCTATGACTGCTGCTTTCAGCATCCACCTCCTGGAAGAAAAGGGTCCCAGAAATCCACAGTGCCTACAGGCAATCTGAATTACTATTGTAACTGAAGCGTGTCTTAATAGCTGCATTGGAACCTACATCTCTGACAACTTCATCCAAAACATGTTTACTTGAATGTGTATAATTGCACATGTACAACTTTGAAATACTCCACCACTTAACCACTTCTTACAGAAGTTTTGGCCAAAGATTTACAGATTTGTATGAGTTTTTGCAAGAATGTAGTGTGCAGGGTTGTATTTCACACAGGTTAAAAAAAAATAAAATAAATGAAACAACCAAAAAACCTAAGCCCCCAAAAAGTCAGCTGTTGCCATAAGATTGCTAACTGAAATAAGAGAGACCTTGCAAGATCAGCTGTTCTCATGACACTTTTGGCTACATCTAAATCAGCACTGGAAATATGCACCTTCTGGTCTTGGATCTGGCCCAGACCCATAATTGTAGGGGAAGGTTTTCAATCCATGGATTTTTATTACAAACCCTTGAAATTCAAAGGGATTAAGGTTTCATGTTCTGGTGTGGAGAGCTGCAGTGACATACAGCAGATTGTACAACAGTGTAATTTTAACCATGTCCAGGGAGGCAAACTCCTCCTTTCTCTAAAAGTAACTCTTAATTTTTATGTAAGGAAGACTATCATGCATGAGGAATTTTCCTCTAGGTAAAATGTCAAGCACTCTGGAATTCCTTTTCATTCTGTTGTAGTATCTTACCATCTATCTTTGCTTTGGATCTTGGTTTGTCTGTTTGCAAAATGAGCATGATCAAACTTACTGTAGATGAAGCAACTCCCATGTACTTCTGCAGATCAATATGTGAGAACAAATGCTTACACTAGCATCTGATTCATATAACTGTGCTGGACAATAGGTAGGTGCATTCTGTGAATACCAGAAATTGCCTGTGACTGACATCTTTCCCTGCAAAAGGTCACAAGATGGTCCTGTCTATTATTTCACTCTTCCTTTCTGAGGATCACCAGCACTGATTTGTCTCACAGAGGGAAGATGCTCAAAGCTGTTTGTGCCTTTATCTGTTTATAGAGTTTGAAGATCTGAGGATGCTTTATTTTTAGCTTTATATGACTCAGATAACAGGGATATTTTGAAGGTCTTATCTAAAAGAAAATTGCAGAATATGACAAAATTGACCTGAGAAAGAAAAAGAGTAAAGTCAGCCTTTCTAGGGTAAAAAAAAAACCAACATTTTTTTCTAATTTTCTGGGGTTTTTTCTTATTATTGTTATATATTGTTACACATTATATACAGCTACTGGAATCAAAATATCTATTTGCAGTAGAGAACGCAAGCATTTGAAAAGGGTATTCGTGTACTTGAAGAAGTTTGATTCTAGGACACAGGTTAGTAATATCTGAAATGAAAGTATAAATTGATCAAAATGCATCTCAAAGCCAGACAATGATATCTTTAATTTGTTTAAATTTACATCTGATGTTGATTATTAGCAGAGGAGGAACATAAGTGGCTTGTGTTTACATAGTGTGGCTGATGGCAGCCTTTACTTGCTACTGTCCTTAAAACCGGGAGAACGAGTTTTTGCAATGTGACTGCAATGGTAATGGGAAACATGGCTCTGTTCTCTGATGCTGAGTTGTGATTGAAGGCACTGACCTGCCATAGACTTATAATAGGGTAGCAGGTGTGGCAATGATGGACTTTAATTTCCTTTAATAAACCTTTTATGTGCCACACTTTTACTGCCATTCTATGCTCTCCAAGGTCCTGCACATAATAGGTTCATTACTTTTGATTACTATAGTCTATTGAGACAAACAACTCCAGAACACACTATATATTATGTTCAGTTAAACCAATATAGACTATTTATCCACTGTGCATTATTTCACCTGCAACTCTACAGACAGAATTAAAAACAGCTCCTGTAAGCTAAAACTATTAAAACCACTGGTACTCCTTTGTCATCATTTCATAATAAATACCACACCAATCACAGTGCTGCTCTTTTAATTATGAAACAAAAAGTGTCCACTGCTTCTACTGAACAGCAGTTACTTTGGTCTAAATAGCACTTTGCATTGTGATGAATATTTAAAAACTACACAATGAGTGAAAACCAACAACAAAATCAATGCAGGTGATTTTTTAATTGATTTTCTTTCCTTGTAATAATTTTGAACACTGAGAGATGTTTAATCAACTCAAAACTAAAATTTATAGGACTATTTAGCCTGGTGCATACCACATATTAAGATAATCATGTCTGTGTTGCATAAAAAAAATCTTAACTCACAAAAAGTCCCATGCATTAACTTGAAAATTATACAAAAGTAACCAAATAAAACTGTGAAATCTTTTAAATGTGTCAGCAAAAAGACTTCTCCTGCTCAAAATTTAAATGTAATATCTCTGCATTTTAATAGCTTTTTCAGAGACTGTCTGATACTGAAAAAAGTGAACAAAATTTCTCACTTCTGATTTTTATCTACATAGTGATATTTTTACACGAAATTACAGCCACAGATGGTCAGCAAGAAGTATTCAAACTTTTAAATCACCTATGGAACAACAAAATAATTGGACTCTAATTAAGAAATTTCATCCACATTTTTTAGAGGTAATTGTTATCAAGATATTAATTTGAAAGACGTATCTTATTACTGCAGCGTACTAGTAAAGGTTGGATGGATTCTGGAAGGTGCTTCATGCTCTCAAAGCTGAGGATGCTCAGTCCTCCCTCCCAGTACATATGCTTCTTAAGACAAGAAGTCATAAGAGGTAAATAGAATGGTAATGTCTGCACAAAATCCTCACATAAAGTCTCAATAGAATTTTTTTTTTATTCATCTGGACCATCAGGATAATATCTAAACACCTGCCAGGAAAATTTTATTGGGAGTTGCAGTCCCATATATTCTAAGGGCAAGCATCACAAAAATAAAGAATAGTGAATAGTGGAATTAATTCCACTTTACCTTTGCAATTTATACCTAGATTCTCTGATTTGATGGGGTTTAAACTCATCTAAACCTTAGTACTCATGTTTCTCCAGGTGAACTTATTGTTGGAAAAGCAGCAAATATACTTTCTGGGCAAACTATTTTGGAGTTCCTGGCTGCAGAAACCAAATGTCACTTCTTGTGTTTGTACCATCCCAATGCAGTCAGCGGACTTGAGAGCAGCACCTGGAAATACTTCCCTGAGTGAGAGAATCAGGACTTGGCTCTGAGTTTGCTTTTTTGTGTGACTGGAGTCTATCTGTGCACATGTGCAGGCACTGATATTATAATGGTATCCAAGAATGTGACTAACAGCTGAAAATAGGGCATGTGCAATAAATGATAATAATAACAATAAGAATAATAATAACTGTTTCAGTTTACTTGCACATTTTAATTCTGAATTTCAGAAACTAAATTGATACTACAGTCTTGGTAAGATAGTTTCACAGTACTGTGCTGTGAACTACTTAAGTTTGTACAGAGGCAACAGCTACATCTGTCACTAGATTAATTAATTTAGCCAGAAAAAAAAAAAAAAACTACGAAGAAAAAAAACAACCTCAATTTTTAAATCACACTAATTTATCCTCAGGTCTCAAACATAAGCTACGTACTTCAGAGCTGAAGCCAGTCAGTGCTAAGCACTACAAACAAGTCTGTGTTGTACTGTGCCCCAAGGTGACACGACAGTGCGTGTGCCTCTTCCTACAATAAATAACACCCTCAGAGCAAGCTTGTCAGTCGTTTTGGTACTCGTGTTTTAATGTTTCATTTCAATAACCCATTTGAGATTCTAACACATAAAAAGGGAATATTGACATTAAAAAAAAGATTTTTTTTTTTTTTTTTTTTTTAACAACTCTGTAGGCAAGATTTCCTACAGCCTGTCCAGAAGTACAGAGCACTGTTTGGCTGTCTGTGTATATATGTGTGATGACTCCATCTTTCTGTCACTCTATGATGCCTTTTTTAAATATGAAGCATTAATGGCAAACTGATGGTGAGAAGAACAGGGTGAGAAGAAAATGCAAAGTATACATATAGCAACACTATGTAAAGTTTATGCATTCTGAGTACTGGCAGCAAAAAAAATCCAAAGACAAAATTTTCAAGAACATTGCTGGTACCGTGGTTAAAGTTTTTTCTTCTTCTTTTTTAATAACATATTGATGGCCAGAAAGGATAAAAAATATTTACAATATAGGTGTTCTTGAAGATTATTACAGAAAACATGCCTTGTTTTCTGATTCTGATTGTTCTTCTCCAAGGAGTCACCTCATCTTTATTTTTGAAACTTTTGGGTTTTTTTACACAACGTTATTCCCAATGTCTCTAGGAGAAAGTTGAGTAACACAGAAATAATTTGTTCAGATGTATTAATTTATTGTGAATTAAAATAAGCTTGTATGTCTACTAAATGTAAACTTTAAACCGTGTTTATAACACATATACATCATCAGTTTGGCATTTTGTGGTGTGTTAAATGGTATACATATTTTTAAAAGTAGATATTTTTTATATTCAAGTCACTACTAGAAAATATGCAATGACAAAATAAACTTTAAATCAGAGGCAAGCTTGAATAGCTTTGTTATGAGGATGATTTATTTTGATTCTTGCTTCTGATTTCTGAGTTGTCACTGCTGTTGTAGATTTC